TGGGTACCTATTAACTCCATTGAACATTTCTTTTCCAATTAAATCCTGTAAATGTTACATGGGTGGTAACGCAGGCGCGTTTTTGATCCCAAGGACTCCAGAGGCTGAAGCAAGAGGACCACATGGCCAGCCTGGACAATTTAGCAAGGCCCTCAACAATTTAGGTAGACTCTGTCTTAAAAAATAAAAAGGGCTGGGGATGTAGCTGGGTGGTTAAGTGCACCTGGGCTCAATCCCCAGTACAAGTCCCCTGCCCCCAAATCTAGTAAATATTTACTGAGCTTCCACTGAATGTGTCAGCCTCTGTCTTTGGCGCTGGGCCTCCGTTTTCTCAGCTGTAATGTGGAATGGCACACTGCTTTCTCAGAAGACTCTGGTGAAAATATAGTGAAATGTGTGACTTGAAGCCACTTCTTTAAATCTGAATTAATGAAATATTCAGATCTCCAAAAAGGGGAAACTTTGAGGAAATTCAAAACAGCAGAGTTCCCTGCACCAGCAGCGTTTTTCTGAATAGTGTGTAGGCTGCGATATCTGTTAAGCATTAGTTTCTGCATCGAGCATTGGTAACAGTGAATCATTGCTATTTGTATAGAATATAAGTCTCCCAGTTCCCTAGATCTAAAATTAACTACCTTCTGCCACTGCACCTTTGTTTCTACTTCACCCTCTCCTGCCCTGTTTCTTGGGTCCTAGCCAAGAGTATTCTTTTTCCTTTCCCCCAATGATCTCAGACTCTCAGGAAATCAGCTAGGGATTTTTCTTAGTAGGGAGATCTTAGTCTCACTCTGCCAGTCTGCTTACTCATTCAACAGAAAGATGAGGAGGTGAGGGAGCTAGCCAAGCAGACACCTGGGGGAAGAGTATTACACATAGAAGGGAAAACCAGTGAAAAGTTGCTGAGGCAGGAGAGTGCCTGTGTCCCTAAGGCAAGGATTCTGGTAAAGGAAATTGGCAGAAGTAAGAGGAGGAATTTTTCCCCCTTGGTACTAACTATTGAACCCAGAGGTGCTTTACCACTGAGCCACGTCCTCATCCCTTTTTATTTATTTATTTATTCTAAATTATTTTTTAGTTTAGGTGGACACAGTATCTTTATTATTATTTTTTTAATGTGGTGCTGAGAATCGAACCCATGTGCCTCACGCATGCTAGGCGAGCACGCTACCACTTGAGCCACATCCCCAGCCCCCCTTTTATTTTTTGAGAAGGGGTCTTGATAAATTGCCCAGGCTGGTTTGGAATTAGCAATCCTCCTGCCTCAGCCCCCTGAGTAGCTGAGATTATAGGTGAACACTACCATGGTAAAAGAAGGATTTTTTCCTACTGTAAGAAGTTGGTTTTTTTTTTTTTTTTCCCTGTACCAGGAATTGAACCTAGGGGTATTTAACTACTGGGCCACATCTCCAGCCTTTTTGTTTGTTTGTTTTTTATTTTGAGAGAGAGTCTTGGTAAACTTCTTTAGGGCCTTGCTAAGCTGCTAAAGCTGGTCTGGCACTTACCATCCTTCTGCCTCAGCCTCTGGAGTCCCTGCACTACAGACTGCACCACCATGCCTGGTAGGATTGTGGCCTTCAGTCTAGTAAAATGAGGAGGCAGTGCAGGATTTTTACTAGAGGACTAACATAATCTGAGCTTTGTTCTTGTGGTCCTGGGCATTGACCCCAGGAGTACCCTCCCACTGAACTACATTCCCAGCCCATTTTATTTTTTATTTTGAATCAGGGCTGACTAAAGTTGCCCAGATTGGTCTTGAACTTTCAATTCTCCTGCCTCAGCTTTCCAGTTGCTGGAATTCCAGGCACAAATCACTGTTCCTGGCGTATAACCTTTTTTTTTTTTTTTGGTAACAGCTTTATTGAAATAAAATTCACATCATACCATTTTCCCATTTAAAGGATTTATTTGGTTCAGAGTTGTGCAACAAGCACTACAATCATTCCTCCCCACCAAAAGAAGTCCCTGCCCTTTACCAGTGGGCCTCACTTTCCCTTTTCCATCCCCCTTCCCCAGGCCTAGGTCACCACTAATCAACTTTCTGTCTCTAAAACATTGCCTATTCCTGGTGTTTCATACAAACAGACCATGCAATATGTGGCCTTTTGTGCCTTGCTTCTTTCACTTAGAATAATGTTTTCAAGGTTCATCTATGTTATAGCACCATCAGTACTTCTTTCCTTTCTATCGCCAAATAATATTCCATGGCATGATTTTAGCACATTCTATTTTCCATTTATTTGCTGATAGGCATTTAGCCATTTTAATTAATTAATTTATTTATTTATTGGTACCAGGGTTTGAACCCAGAGATGCTCAACCACTGACCCACATCCCCAGCTCCCCCCCTTTTAAAAATATTTATTTTTTAGTTGTAGTTGGACACAATACCTTTATTTTGTTTTTATGTGGTGCTGAGAATTGAACCCAGGGCTGTGCTAGGTGAGCGATCTACTGCTGAGCCACAACCCCAGCCCGCCCAGGCCTTTTTAAAATATTTTAGACACAGGGTCTTGCTGAGTTGCTTAGGGCCTCGCTAAGTTGCTGAGGCGGACATTGAACTCCCAGTCCTCTTGCCTCCACCTCCCCATCTGCTGGGATCACAGGCATGTGCCACTGCATCCAGCTAGCCACTTATTTTTAAAATCAAACAATTTATTGTTATTTTTGTGGTGCTGGGGCCTTGAACATGCTAAGCAAATGCTCTACCACTGAGCAATATCCCCAATCCTAAAAGAAATATTTTTAGAGCTGGGGTTGTGGCTTAGTGGTAGAGTGCTCACCTAGCATGCATGAGGCACTGGGTTCAATCCTCAGCACCACATAAAAATGAAATAAATATATTATGTGCCCACCTACAATTAAAAAATAAATATTTAAAAAATATTTTTAATTGTGGTTAAATACACTTCACATAAATTTAATACTTTAACCTTTTTATTGGCACTGGGGATTAAACCGAGGGGCACTCTGCCACTGAGCCACATCCCCAGTCCTTTTTATTTTTTATATTATGACAGGGTTTCACTAAAATGCTGAGGGTCTGGCTAAGTTGCTGAGAATGGCCTCAAACTTACAATCCTCCTACCTCAGTCTCCCCAGTCACTGGGATTACAGGTGTGGGCTACTGCACCTGGCTCACTTTACCATTTTTAAGTGTATAGTTCAGTAGTATGTTCACATTGTTTCAGCCAATCTCCAGAACTCAGTTCATTTTTGCAGAACTGAAACTCATTACACAACACCCCATTTCTTTCCCTCCCCAGACACACAAAAAAAACCCATTATCCTACTGTGTCTAAGAATTTTCCTATTCTAGGTACCTCTGATAAATGGGATTCTTTTGTGACAGGCTAACTTAGTATACTATTCTTAAGGTTCATCTATATTGTAGCATATATCAGAATTTTACTCCTTTTTAAGATTGAGTAATATTCCATTGTATGGATACACCACATGTTATCCTTCAAAGGATAATGGATTGTTTCCATCTTGTGTCTACTGTGAATAGTGCTGCTATGAACGTGAATGTATAAATATCTCATCTGGAACCTGCTATCAATCCTTTGGAATGTATACCCAGAGTGGACTTGCCAGAGCATATGGCAATTCTACTTTTAACTCGTGCAGAGCCTCCACACTGTATTTCACAGTGGCTGTACCATTCTATTAGTTTTTATCATTATTGTTGGTGCTGGGGATTGAACCAAGGGGTGTTTTAGCACTGAGCTCCATCCTCAGACCTTTTTATTTTTTATTTTATTATGGTTAAATACACAATTTAGGGTCTCACTAAATTGCCTAAATTGGCCTTAAATTTCCTATCCTTCTGCCTCAGCCTCCCCCAGTTTCTGGGATTACAGGTGTGCACCAGTGCACATGGCAGAGAAGAGGCTTACTTTGAAAAGTCAATTTAACTTATTTATTTATTTAGGGATGCTGGGGATTGAACCCTCTGGGGCTTTACCACTGAGCTACATTCTTTTTTGAGACAGGGTCTCGCTGAGTTGCTGAGGCTGGTCTCGAACTTGCAATCCTCCTGTCTCAGCCTCCAAAGTTGCTAGGATTACAGGCGTATGCCACCACATCCAGTGTCAATTTTATTTATTTATTTATTTATTTGAGACAGGGTCTCACTTTACTACCCAAGCTGGCCTCTAACTTCTGAGCTCAAGCAACACACCTGCCTCAGCCTCCGAATTAACTGGGGCTACCAGCAGGCACCACCGCATCTGGCCATTTTAATTTTTAAAACATCCGTTTTAATGGATTATCCTCCTTTCATCAATTTAGAGGGAGATTAAATCACTTGCCTAATATTTCCCAAGCAGAAATGATGCAGCAGGGATGGGAGTCTTCAGATTTAGACTCCAGAAACTGCAGTGCCCTACTGTAGAGCAGATTCTTATCCTCCCACGTCTCAACACTCTCGGTCCCTGGATTCATCGCCCCACAATCCAGAGAATGCCACAGGTCCAAGCCGCCTGAGAAAGTCCCCACCGGGGCACAGACTGCTGAGTGCGCGACCTTCCTCCAGCCATTGCTCTCACCGTTCGCCCAGGAGAAAAGCCCAGAAGCGGTCCCTTACTATCGGGTTGCTTCGGAACAAGGAACCCCTATCTCCTAAATTCCCATTTAGGCAGAGCGCTCGGAATCAAAAATTCTTAGTCCCGCGCTTTCTGATGTGCGGGACGTGGAGTCCGATCCCCCTTGCAGAAATGCAGGAAGTGGTCATCCATCGACGTTCTTCCCATCCCTGGTGGACCAGAGGTGGGACTGCCCTGGAAAAAACCTCAGCTGCCAGGGTGCCGCAGAGGTTGCGAACCTCCAACCTCTCCCGCCACGACTCAGGAGCCCGGGAAAGCCCAACCACGCGCAGGCGCGCCCCAACAAGCGCACGAAGGGGCGTCCGCGGCGGAGTCCGCCCAAATCCCATCAGCCCGACCGGCCAGGTGCCGCTCTCTCCCGCTGGGTCGTCTCGCCTCCCCTATCCCGTCCTGCTCTGCGGCGCAGGGGCAAGATGGCGGCTGAGAAGCAAGTCCCGGGTGGCGGCAGCGGCGGCGGTGGTAGCACCGGTAGCAGCGGTGGACGCGGAGGAGAGGAAAATAAAGAAAACGAACGCCCTTCAGCTGGATCGAAGGCAAACAAGGAGTTCGGGGATAGCCTGAGTTTGGAGAGTATCCTAGAATAATGGCCTAACTCGTAATGACTACGTGTCGATCTGTTGGGCTGGGGGCGGGAGAGGCAGCAGGTCCTGGCACGTCTTGGGCCCGAGAGGCTGGGGGTTGTGATTTCGGTTGCTCCTACTTTTTGACCCTTAAAGGTTCAGGGTCTTTTTCTCGACCAGTCTTTCTTCGCATCCCCTTTGCCTTCCAGGTCGGGGGATATCCTTTCCTTCCAGGTGGCACATAGATATTGGGCAGGTTTCTCTTGCTGGCCCGCAGTTGTCCATTTGGAGGGCAAGTCCCAGGTTTGATGCTTCTGGCCACGCTGCTGTGCTCTTGCCTTCTTACCTTGAGCCACTGAACTGGGCAGAGGAAACTGACGTTTGAACTTAATGCTCTTGTCTGACAGCTGTCACAAACTGCTGATTTCCAAGCTTGATGCTTTGGAAGTGGAGGTAAAGATTGACAGCTGAGGAAAAGCTTCTGGCCCGTTTTGAATGTAAATTATCATAGCTTGTTAATCATTTGTGTAGTTTTCTCATAAGTCCATAGGCATTTTAATCTTGTTGGGAGTCTTCAGAAGAGCTGGATTTGTAGTTTTCATTATTGTATATGTCAATGTGTGGTGCTGGAGTTTGAACTCAGGTCCTCACACAATCTAGGCAAGCACTCCACTACTGAGCTACATCCCCCAGTTGACATTTTGAAATGAATAGCAAAGAAAATGTGGGCAAATTTCTGAAATAACACATTCAGCTTAATATCTTAATGTGGTTGTTTTCAGGAGTTTGGATTTGGTGGTATTGTTCCAGATGGATGTTAGAATGCTCTGATCATACTATGGGCTCCATATGTCATTATCACCTTTTCTCCCTACTGGGAACTGGATCCAGGGTCTAGGTGTGCTAGGCAAGCAATCTATTATTGAGCTACATCTCCAGCCCTTCTTTCTTTTAAATTTTATTTCAAATTGGTAAGTTGTCCAGACTAGTCTCCAACTTACCATTCTCCTGCCTCCTGAGTTGCTGGGATTATAGGTGTGTACCACCTTGTCTGACTCATTGACCCTTGTTAATTATTGAAAGAATCACCACTTAAAAATAATAACTAAAAAACAATTAATTATTTTATTATTATTTAATGAATGAATAATGGAGAGGGGTTGAGGGAAAGTTAAAAGAAAACTAAAATTGTACATAAAGATCTTTGGGCTTCCTAAAGTTTGGTACATCTTAAATATTTAAAGATTTCCAGTTGGACTTGCTGGTACATGCCTTTAATCCCAACAACCCAGGAGTCTGAGGTAGGAGGATTACAAATTCAAGGGCATCTTAGCAGACCCTGACTTAAAAATAAAAAGAGCTGGGGATATAGTTCAGTGGTAGAGCACTCTTGGTTAAGTCCCCCGTACTGCAAGACAAACAAAACTTAAAAAGGAGAGTTTGGTTAGGGATTCTTCTTTTACAAGAAAAACTTTAATGTTTTTATGGACTCTATGGTCTAGCTTTGTTAACGAGCTAAACATAGGCTCTGGAAGCATCTCAGCTGTTAAGGAAAGTTATATTTGGTAGATGTTGAGGCAAATAGAAGTACATGTCATTTACAACCTAGATATGTTTGAATGAATAAAATGTGGTGTTTAGGTATAAATCAGTGGGAACCACCTCAGTTATAGTTAGCATTTAGAATCCAGCAATTTATTTAAGCTATTGGGTTTTGGCAATCTCCAGTGGCTAGTAATGCCTTCCTTTTTTAGTTTGAAAATTGTAACAGTTCAGACAATCAACTTTTCTGCAAACTTAACCCTATTCTGTGACAAGTCAGTTGTTTAAAATTTGTTACAGAATATTTCACTAGTTAATGTACCAAGAATTTCACAAATACTTAATGTGCTGTTGTTTGACACACAGAGTGGTATGGGCTTTGATTTATTTGGATTCTTGCCATTATAAGCTTTTCCTTAATCTTGACTCTAGTTCTTCAGATTATTAAGGAATCCCAGCAGCAGCATGGTTTACGACATGGAGATTTTCAGAGGTACAGGTTAGTATCGTGTATAAGATATGGGGAGATCATTGTGGGATTTTTAAACTTGGTTTGCTTTTGTTAATATCAGTATATTACATGCCACTAAATCTGCTATATCAGAAAGTATACCTACAAAATTTAAAATTTTATAATAAGCTGAGCACTGTGGTGCATGCCTGTAATCCCAGCGGCTCAGAGGCTGAGGCAGGAGGATTGCAAGTTCAAAGCCAGCCTCAGCAACTTAGTGAGGCCCTAAGTAACTCAATGAGACCTTGTCTCTAAATAAAATATGAAAAAGGGCTGGGAATGTGACTTAGGGTTAAATGCTCCTGGATTCAATCCCCAGTACCAAAAAAAAAAAAAAAAAAGATTTTATAATGAATAAAAGGAGCCAACATCATTTTTATTCATTTTGCCTCACAATTTTTCAGATACATTTGAAGGCTTCTGAAAAATAACAGGTAGTTATAGTAATCATTTTTTATCTTAACCATATATCTCTATCTAATTTTGGGTAAATTCAGTGTTTAGCTGTACTTTTTATTTTTTAAAATTTTTAATTTTTTAAAAATATTTGTTTTGTAGTTGTAGTTGGCCACAATATCTTTAATTAATTAATTTATTTTTATGTGGTGCTGAGGATCAAAACCCAGGGCCTTGCCTATGTTTGCGAGCACTCTACCACTGAGCCACAACCCCAGCCCTAGCAGTACTTTTTAATATAAGGAAGTCAAACCTCATAATACCTGCAATCTAGAAATAGGTATCTCTGCTTTCAAATAATGAATATTACACAGTCATTTTTTTAAGTCAAATTAAATTCAACTTGAAGTTTGTTATAGCATAGAAATTCCCCTTAATGTTTAAAATGAAAACACTCAATATCTCATTTTCTTTTTCTTTCTTGGTTCTGGTGATTGAATACATCTTAGATTCTTGTTCATCTACTCATTCATTCAAAAACATTTAGTGAGCACCTATCAAAAGCACAACACTGTTCTAGGCACCAGAGAGTACTAAATAACAGAGGCAAAGTTCTTCCTCTTGGGAAATTTATAAGCAAAACAAATTACACAAACACAATTGTCAGACTATGGTGAAAATTAAAGAAAGGAACTCTTATGAAGGGGTATTAGACTGGGGGTGAGTCAGGAAAGGCCTGACCAGGGACGTGTTATCACAAGCCACATCCCCCCAGGGTTTTGCTAAGTTGCTTAGGGCCTTGCTTTTTGCTGAGGCTGGCTTTGAACTTGTCCACCTGCCTTAGCCTCCTGAGTTGCTAGGATTACCAGCTTGTGTCATTGTGCCTGGGTCAGACAAAAGGCCTTTCTGAGATGAAGCATTTAACAGGAACCTGAAGGCTGAGGAGTCAGCCATTTGGTGATGGGTGAACAGGACTGGGCAGAGTGAGCAAGATGGTGTGAGATGAAGTGGGAGAAATTGACAGGGCTGGAATAATGAGTTCAAATATTAATGTAGGTGTCGCAGGAAGCCATTAGAGAGTCTTAAGCAGGGAACTATTTATTTATTTATTTTTTATTATTAAGGAAATTTCCAAACACATGTAGAGCTAATAGTCCTTTGAACCCTATGAATCTGTCTCTTCATCGCAATGATCAACTTTCTGTCCTGTTTCATCTACTTTTGAAGGATCTTTAAATTTTATTTAAGTATAATTTTTTGGGGTGGATACCAGGGATCGAACTCAGGGGCACTTGACCACTGAGCCACATCCCAGCTTTGTTTATATTTTATTTAGAGACAGGGTCCCACTGAGTTGCTTAGCACCTTGCTGTTGCTGGGATGGCTTTGAACTTTCAATCCTCGTATCTGAGCCTCCTTAGCCACTAGGATTATAGATGTGAACCACCATGCCAGTTATTTAGTATAATTTATAAACAGAAAAGTATATAGATCCTGCATCTAAAAGTATATAACCAGCATCCAGGTTATCAGATAAAACATTATCAATATCCCAGAAATCCTCATTTGTCCCTTCAAATCACAAACTCTTTCCATGGGTCACCACTATCATGACCTTAGATTAGGTTTGCTTTTTTTAAAAAATATGTGTGCATAGCATCACATAGTACCATACTCCTTCTTTTAGTACTGGGGATTGATCTCAGGTAATGAATGCCACTGGTAAAGCTATACCCCCAGCCCTTTTTATTTGTTATTTTGAGACAGGGACTCACTAAATTTCCCAGGCTAACCTTGAACTTGCAATCCTCTTGCCTCAGCCTCCGGAGCTTCTGGGTTTATAGGTGTGCACCATTACACCTGGCCCCAGCCCTTTTTAAGATTTTTTTTTTTTTTTTGTATGTATGTTTTATATGGTACTGGGAATTAAATCCAGGGGTGCTCTACCACACAGCTACATCTTTTGCCCTTTTTTATTTTTTGAGACAGAGTCTGTCTTGCTAAATAGCTTAGGCTGTCCTTGAACTTGTGATCCTTCTGCCTCAGCCTCCTGAGTTGTTGGGATTACAGGCTACATTGCACCTGGCTTCTTTTTTAAAAATCTAATTTGAGGCAGGATCTTACAAGGTTGCCTCAAACTTGCCTCAAACTTTCAGTCTTTCTGCCTTAGCTTCCTGAGTAGCTTGGATTACAGGCATTTGCCACCATAACCAGCCAAATAAAGCTTTTGAAAAAAATAACCAAAAATACAGTTATCCCACCTAACTGAATTAACCTTAATTTCTTACTATCATCTCATACAGTATTGAGAATAATGTAAAAATAGTCTTTATTGTTTATCCTAATTTCTTTAAAATGTATTTTTTTAAACACTGAGACTTGTAGAAAAGTTGTAATTACCCTGCAAATAACAGGCCTTTTCAGAATCACTGAAAGTAAATTGCATTTGTGTTGTCAGTTACCTCTGAATACTGTACATTTTTAGCAAAGAAGGACATTTTACCATATAACGGCTGCAGAGCAATCAAAATCAGGGAACTGATGATAAATTACTATCTTTTTTTTTTTTTTAAAGAGAGAGAGAGAGAGAGAATTTTAATATTTATTTTTTAGTTATTGGCGGACACAACATCTTTGTTTTGTATGTGGTGCTGAGGATTGAACCCGGGCCGCATGCATGCCAGGCAAGCGCGCTACCGCTTGAGCCACATCCCCAGCTCCTAAATTACTATCTTCTCATCTTCAAATCCCATTCAAGATTCCCTAGTTGTTCTAGTAGTTTCCTTTATAGCTAAAGGATCCAATTCAGAATTGTGCATTGTATATAGTGGTCATGTTCTCTTTAATCTTAACTCTAGCTCAGATCCTCAGTCTTTTCATGGTCTTGACTCTTTTTTTTTGTTGTTGTTGTTACCCAGTATCAAACCCAGGGGTACTTAGCCACTGATCTACATCCCCAATCCTTTTATTATTATTTTATTATTATTATTTATTTTGCTGAGTTTCTTAGGGTCTTGCTGAGTTGCTGAGGCTGGCCTTGAACTTGCAATCCTACTGCCTCAGCCTCCTGAATTACTGGGATTGCAGGCATGCACCAGTGCACCTGGCAAGATCTTGACTTTGAACAAGATGACAGGCCAGTTATTTTGTGGAACATTACTCAGCTGGGTTTATTTGATGTCTCTTTATGATGAGATTTACCTTATATGTCTTTGGCAAGAATATCACAGAAGTGATGTTGAGTTCCTATCCTGCCCATCCAGAGGCACATGATTTCAGTTTGTCCAGTTTCATTTGATAAGGGTGGGTTGGGGCAGGCTTCTCCACTGGAAAGTTACCCATTTTCCTTTTGTAATTAGGAAGTATTTTATGAGGAGATATTTTGAAACTGTGTAAATATTGTATTCTTTTTAAAAATATTTATTTTTTTGTTGTAGATGGACACAATATCTTTATTTTATTTATTTACTTTGATGTGGTGCTGAGGATGGAACCCAGGGCCTCTCAGGAGCTAGGCGAGTGCTCTACCACTGAGCCACAACCCCAGCCCTAAATATCCTATTCTTTGGGTTATGTTTTTGGTTCTAGGGATTGAACTCAGGGCACTCAACCACTGACCCACATCCCTGCCCTGTTTTGTATTTTATTAGAGACAGGGTCTCACTGAATTGATTCACTCAGCGCCTTCCTTTTGTTTGCTGAGGCTGGTTTTGAACTCAAGAACCTCCTGCTTCAGCCTTCTGAGCTGCTGGATTACAGAGCCTCTGGGATTATAGGCCTGCTGTGGAGGGTTCTAAATATACTATTCTTAAGGTTACAATGTATTAATTTGTATCTGTATGTACTCATAATATCCTATTTTATTTTGACATGTAATCTGTTTAATTTTGATGCTTAAATTGACCCATAGTATAACCTTTCTGGTGGCTACTGTGACCTTTGACACATCCTTATTTATTTTTTTTATAAAGTCAGTTTTATTTAACTATTGTTTATATATAGTAGGTATACAGTTTGAGTTTTGACAGGTGTATGTAGTTAGGTGGTCACTACAAATTGAGATATATAGAGTGATTTCATCATCTCAAAAAGTTCCCCTGTGCACCAGAGTTTGCTTTTATTTTTTATTTTTTATTTTTTTGAGAATTTTTTAATATTTATTTTTCAGTTCTTGGCGGACACAACATCTTTGTTTGTATGTGGTGCTGAGGATCGAACCCGGGCCGCACGCATGCCAGGCGAGCGCGCTACCGCTTGAGCCACATCCCCAGCCCCAGAGTTTGCTTTTAAATTATTTTCTTTTTCATATCTCTGGCTTCTTGATAGCTCTGTTGACCTCATAGCCTTTTTTTTTTTTTTTTTTTGACCTCATAGTCTTTTAAATATTTTTTTAGTTGTTGATAGACCTTTATCTTATTTATTTATATGCAGTGCTGAGAATCGAATCCAGTGTCTCACACATGCCAGGCAAGTGTGCTACTGTTGCGCCCCATCCCCAGCCCCACATAGTCTTTGAGGCTGAGCTGGCTTCCCAGCCTCAGGTCTGCATGTGTGTTATCTTAATTCCATAACTTTGAAGTCTGGCCCACTTC